GATCAACTGTGATGTTTACTAATTCTTCACTAATCATTTCCTTAATTAAACTTCTGTCTATTTACCCCTAATTGCTCATTTGATTTTCTTTCCTTAAATGTATTCTGCCTTTACCGTTGGTGAATTACCCTTAATTAAGGGAAAATTATACTAATTGGTGTATAATTGATTCTATGGCTTCCTTAATTGCAAAAGGGTTGATTCCCTTTACCTTATTCTCCTTGCTCTTAACTGCTATATATACTCTCCTTTACTCCTCACTTCTACACGAACACTAGTTCCTCCACACTCTCACACTCTCAAAGGCTCTCTATTCTCTTCTATTACTTGCAATTCTCAATAATCCAGCCGGCTGTAAGCCAAGGCTGGCTATTTGCACCATCTCTGCTCTATACTCTGTATTCTCTCCTTGACTGGTATGTCCTGATTCAATTCACATTCCAAAACTATGTGTTTCTTAGTTGCTGCAGTTCATAGATTGTGATTTCCAATTCTATTTGCTATTCTACTGTCATGTGCCCAATGTGTAACCAGCATGCTTAGATTACATTGCCTAATTACTGTATCACTCAGCATGTTTAATTTTGTTCTGTTAAAAGCTATAACTAGTATACTGTTTAGCATGCCCAATCGTGCTTTAGATAATTGCATGAATCCTATTTGTTCACTAGTATATCCAAGCTGCATTGTTTGTTTACTGTCTCACACACCATGTCTAAATTCTGCTTGTTCTACATGTGATTAGTATTTCTGAAACTTTGAATGCTTCATGAAGTTCTTGTCTAGTTTGTTCATCTAAATCTTACCTGCTCTACTTCAATAATGAGATCCTGTTAAGACATCTAGCCCTTTCAGAGCTACTCTAGTTGTGTGTATGTGTTCTCAGCATATCCTTGTAACTAACTTGTCAATTTTGTAACTTCGAGAGGAATCTGTGTATTTAGTTGCTATCATTAAGGTGCATTCTATGTGTCCCCTACCCCCTTTCTCCTTGTGTGAATCCTGTTTGCCAAAGTGTTTTCTGAGACTGGTATGCTGATTTCAAGATGTTCTTTTTATGATTTTCCAACTACTGTTTTACTCAAACCAGTACATGTTTTCAGAAAACTCATTCATTCCTAAGACCTTCCTTATACTGTTTACCAAATTCTTTAAAAGCATTATGCACTCTCACATTAGTCTTAGTTTATTAAGTCCTGCCCCTCTGGTGTGTGTACTTCCTTGAGACCTTCGAGATCTCTCTGAACTCTGCCATATCAGGGCTGGCCCTTCCACACTGCACATAAATCAGTTCTTATTTGAGAAAGGTCTGGGTGTGAGCACTGTCTGGGATCCTTGAGGTCCTTAGGGAACTCTGACACACCTAGACATGAAATTGGCTATGAAACTTTGAGCACTTGAGGCTACTGAAGGCTTGGAAACTACTTTGGGCCTACTTCAGGCTCCCTATAGTTTAAATGTATAATTATATTTATGTAATTTATCCAGTTCTTGGTCTGTAATAATTAATTATAAATAAATATTGGGGTGACTGGTGAAAAGGGAGGGCGGTTGTATATTGTGGGTAAGTTGGGTAGATAAATGCCTATAGGGTTTATTTTTGATGTGTTGTGTTAGACAAACTGCCTATAGGATCTCTTGCTTGAAATGAATTCTACTTGCTCCATTTCATATAACTAGATATCATGCCTATAGGACTTAAAATCAGCTTTAATAGAAATCATGCCTATAGGGATTTCGCTTTGGTCAAATAAATTCTGCTTGTTTCCCCTTATGTTAATTAGAAATCATGCTATAGGATCTAAAACTAGTTCAGTTAGACCTAAAATCAGTTTAACTTTGATTCATGTTTGTAGATTTTGAATCGATTTAATTAACTAACCTACTCGTTTCTTCAACAACGTGTTAATCAATGTCACTAGAAAGCATGCCTATAGGATTCAAATTGCCCGTTTAAGATTGCTTACTGTTTTACTGCATTCCTGATCAACGATTAGATACCATTCTCATTGGACATCACTATTACACGCCTAGGCAAGCCTGTAGGCGATTAAAATTCTGCAATTTATAAGATTACGTCTGCTATCTGTGACTGCTCATATTCAACAAGTCTAAAATCAATAGGCAAACTGAATAGGCCTTTCACACTTTGGTACTAACTCAATACTGCATATTCTCTGCTCACCTAGATATCCTGTTCTAGGGCTTCTTTTAAATACCTGAAACTGTGTTTAAGACGTGCACTTGTTTGCTCTGTTTGTGGAGGTAAATGTGAGCCTTTAATTGTTCTCTCTTTAGTGCCGTCCTAATTGTTTTGGTTGACGCCAAGATTTTACTCCTTTAAGTGCCTTAGGATAGTCTAGAACTACCTAAATTAGAGGTCCTAAATACCTCCAGGGCCACAAGGAAGGGACGGGTAGTGCACGCATAGGATATCTCTCAAGGTTGCTAGAACGCTTTAGGCTATGACCAAGGGGAGGGAATTGGGTAGTAAGGATATGATGACTACGCGCTAATGCCTTGTGTAGCCCCTCATTGAGGAGTGATTACCGGGCATTGTGTGGGTATTATCCTGTAGGCTAACCAACCTAGGACCCCCATTTCCCAATTCCATATGTGCTTAAATTTTATAAACTTTCTTCTCTTTACACATACATATGCAAATTGATCAAACCTCTCTCTTGCTCCCATTACTTGAATCGTACCTGTATTTAGAATATGAAAATATGCCTTTATTTGCAAATATGTGTTGAAACTGTTTACTTGTTCAAAATGACTGATTCATATAAGTTCGGCCGGGACCTACCATTGTGGACCGCGAGGGGTGCCTAACACCTTCCCCTCAAGGTTATTTCGAGCCCTTACCCTAATCTCTGGTGATGCAAACTAGTTACATGAGTTAACCGCTCTAGGTGACCTAACGCACCATAATTCGTTAGGTGGCGACTCTTCAAATACCCAATTCCCAAAAGGAAAAGAGTTGTTCCCCCATGAATGTCGAAACCCGAACTTTCTCTGTGAGGAGGAAAAAAGGGGTTGCGACAATCGGTAGAGAATATCCAAGTAAATTTATAGGAGATGTAGCGGAGTGGATTCCGATAAGAGAGGAAATCGTAACCCTAGACCTTTCCAATATTGTCTACAACATTTGCTTTGTTAGTAATAAAATCACAACTTTTTAATAACCTTGCTTTTAGTTAGTAAATACTCAACTCATTATTTAATATTTCTGAAAGTTGATTACTTGAATTCTTCCGGAACTAGCAATTGTGATTAGTAGGTTAATTCCCTGTGGGATTCGACTCCGGTGTTGTAAATTGGATTATATTTGCAACGACCGCTTAATTCTTTTTATAAGGCATAGTTGAGCGTGATCAAATTTTGACGCCATTGCCGGAAAATTAACGGTGTTATTAATTACAGCTAGAAGAATTGCTAGGATTCTTAGTTTAGTCAATTTTCTTCATTTTAAAATCATTATATTGAAATTCTAACGTTTGTAGTCTTGTGTGTTACAAGTGCATGCCTAGAAACACCTCAAGAACTGAATTGTTTGAAGCATTACTGGATCCTGAGAAAGCTTTCAAGGCATTAAATCGTGCAAACAAGGACGACAAATGACAACAAAACCTGACAGAACAGATTGAACTAGACATGGGGGATGTCATAGATAACCAAAACAACCGAAAAAATGGGAATGACCCGAACAATTAGGGTGTGGAACCTCTTGTGTCGGAAGCAACCTTGTATGATTGGGCAAAACCCACCGCTGAAAATCTGGCAACCGTAATTGCAGTCCCTCAGATACAAACAGAGTCATTTCAAATCACAAACAACATGCTACATCTGCTGCAGAACAAGGGACTGTTCTCCGGGTCTTACATTGAAGATCCACAGCAGCATCTGAAAAACTTTTTATCAATTTGTATCACTAAAAGGCAACCAAATATGTCACCGGAAGCAAACCGACTATTATTGTTTCCATTCTTAATTACTGGAGAAGCTCAGACTTGGCTTAATTTGCTCCACATAAACTCTATCGCCACTTGGGAGGAATTAGTCAAACAGTTTTTGAATAAATTCTACCCACCCAATAAGACTGCCAAGCAAGTTGATGAGATCTTGAGATTCAGGTAGAAACCATCTGAAACACTACAAGAAACGTGGGAGAGGTTTAAATGAATGCTGGTTAAGTGTCCAAATCATGACATTCCAGATCAAATATTGGGATAAAGGTTTTATATGGCATTGGCAGATAGCTTGAAGGCCAATGTTGATGCTTCAACAGGTGGAACATTTTTTAGCAAATCATTTAGAGAGTGTAATGTCCCATTAAAACTCAAATTCCCTGAAATTTGACCTGTTGATTGCATCAGTGTTTGTAGCTGTTGTTGTTGTTGGTTTTTTTTTTTTCTTTAACAAAATTTTACTCTTCTGATTTCTTCAATTCTTTCTCTTTTCTCTTTTTTGGGTCTCCACTATCTTTTTTCTTTTTGCTTTGGTTATGATTGGAAGTTAAATTTATTATTCATAGACAGTGCTTTAGAAGTAATCCTAATTTTCCGATTTGGGATTACACAATATTCTTGAAAGTGTTTCCTGTATCTTTTTAGTTTTCTGATTCTTAGTGGTAGTGTCTTTAAAAGTTTAGTAGCAAATAGTAAGTAGCCTTATACTTTTCGATGTTTTCCGACGGTTCTTCCGCCGTTGCTCTGTCTTCAACCTTCCTCTGAAATAATTCCAATTTTTAATTTTCAACTTCTTCAAATCCTGCATTTCTTCAAATTTTCTCCTATAATCACTCTATTTTTTTCTAGTTTCTTGAGCTTATAGTTGAATTAAGAAAATTTAACACTGGCGGTGAACTTCGCCGTCAATGACAAGATCACCGTTGCCGGAGATTTTATCATTTTTTGGAATTACTGCACTTGGGTACACTCTGTTTTTCTCATTTTCGCTCTTTCTCTTTGGCACACATTTTATCAAAGTCACCGCCGTTAATGACCGCCGGCCGCCAGCGAATCAAAGCTATTCGTACTTGCTGTAATTTTCTAAAAATTTGCCTTGTCTAAAGGATTATTTTTCAAAATATACTGATTTTCATTTTCGGGTGTTTTTTCTCTTCTTTTAAAAGTGATCTCAAAAAGATATAAAAGGGATTTTTGGCTTTTAAGGGTAATTTGACGAAGATATTGGTTTTCATTTCTGAGTTTTTTTCTCCCCCTATTCTCTTGGTTTCGTTGGTGTTTGCGTGTTTTGCAGGTATCACTTTTGGGAGGTGCACGTGCACAAGCAGTAGAGTAGCAGCTATACGTCGGGTTCCACAGCATTGGGAGTATACCAAGTCAAGAGTTCCAGGTTCTATTCACGGGAATTGGTACATCCCGCCTCCTGTTTCTCTGTCTCCTATATTAATTACTTTGTTGCCGTAGTTTTTCGTACTAGTCTAGTCAGGTTAGTGGGCTTGTAGCTACTATTCGCTCCCTTTGTTGTTCTGTGTGGTATTTTTTTTTCTCCTTTTCATTTTTAGACCTTCGTAGGTATAGAGACTGTGGATTGTAATGGCAGAGTAGGGTCATGTCCTCGGGGAGGGCGGGTGGTGTTGAGGGGGGTAGGGCAAGGGTCTGAGGGTGGGACGGGGCCCAAAGGGGGTAAAGGGAACAAGGTAGCCTGTAGGTTGAGAATTGGATCGTGGAATATAGGGACATTGACGGGTAAGTCTATAGAGTTGGAGAAGATTCTCCAGAAGAGCAGGGTCAATATAGCCTGTGTGTAACAAACTAGGTGGGTAGGATCGAAGGAGAGGAATGTAGACGGGTATAAATTGTGGTTCTCCGTAGTCGTGAAAGGCAAGAACGGAGTGGGCATTTTGGTGGATAGGGATCTTAGAGAGTCGGTGGTAGAGGTTAGACGGGTGAATGACAGGTTGATTATGAGGTAGTAGTTGGAGGGAGCACTCTGAATGTCATTAGCAGTTACGCTCCGCAAACGGGCTTGGACGAGGAGGTTAAAAGGAGTTTCTGGGAGGCGCTGGATGAGGTGGTGCGGGGTATTCCGCCTATGGAGAAGTTGTTCATAGGAGGGTATTTCAATGGTCATATTGGATCGTCTGCTGGTGACTATGGCGAGGTGCACGGTGGCTTCGACTTTGGTGATAGGAACGGGGGTGGTACCTCACTGTTGGATTTCACTAGAGCTTTTGAGTTAGTGATCGTGAACTCGATGTTCCCGAAGAGGGAGGAACATTTGGTTACTTTTCGGAGTATGGTGGCTAAGACTCAGATTGACTATCTCCTCCTCATGAGGTGTGATAGGGGGTTGTGCAAGGATTTCAAGGTGATCCCGAGTGAGAACCTCGGAACTCAACATAGGCTCCTGGTGTTGGCCGGTATCTTGATGAAGAGGAAGAAGAGGTTTGTACGGGGTCAGTCGAGGATCAGGTGGGGGAGCTTTGTCTAAGGATAATGCGCAGGAGTTGGTGGGGCGGTTGACGAATATGGGTGCCTAGAAGAGTGGTGGGGACTCTAGCTCTATGTGGACGGCGACGGCGGACTGTATAAGGGAGGCAGCAAGAGAGGAGTTGGGAGTTTCAAAAGGTTACTCTGGAAGGCACCGAGGTGACTGGTGGTGGAATGATGTGGTCCACGGTAAAGTGGAAGCCAAGAAAGCGACTTATATTAAGTTAGTAGAGAGCACTGACGAGGATCAGAGGAGAGCGAACAGAGAAAGATATAAGGAGGCTAGGAAGGAGGCAAAATTAGCGGTCACAGAGGCTAAGACTGCTGCTTTTGGACGGCTTTATGAGGAACTTGGGGGCAAATGTGGGGACAAGAAGTTATTTCGGTTGGCCAAAGCGAGAGAGAAGTAGGCTCGCGACGTAGATCAAGTTAGGTGCATCCAAAACGAGGATGGTCGAGTATTGATGGAAGAGGCCCAAATTAGGCAAAGATGGCAGTCGTACTTTCATAAACTTTTGAATAAAGAGGGGGATGGAAACATCATGTTAGGGCAATTGGAGCACTCCGAGAGTCACCAAGACTTTAGGTATTGTAGGCGCATTAAGGTTGAGGAGGTCGTGGGTGCGATGGGTAAGATGAGTCGGGGCAAAGCAATTGGACCAGACGAGATTCCAGTAGAGTTTTGGAGATATTCGGGCAGAGCAGGCTCGGAGTGGCTGAGTGGATTGTTTAATGTTATCTTCAGGACAAACAGGATGCCTGATGAGTGGCGGTGGAGTACAATGGTCCCGGTGTACAAGAACAAAGGGGATATCCAGAATTGTAACAACTATAGGGGAATCAAATTACTAAGTCATACCATGAAAGTTTGGGAGAGGGTTGTGGAAGGGAGGATAAGGAGGGCGGTGTCTGTATTGGAAAACCAGTTCGGGTTCATGCCGGGTCGTTCTACTACGAAAGCTATCCACCTTATCAGGAGGTTGGTGGAACTACATAGGGATAGGAAGAGGGATTTGCATATAGTGTTTATCGACCTAGAGAAGGCGTATGACAAGGTCCCTAGGGACGTCCTTTGGAGGTGTCTGGAGGTGAAAGGTGTGCCCGTGGCTTACATTAGGGCGATAAAGGATATGTATGATGGAGCTATGACTCGGGTTAGGACTGTGGGAGGTGACTCAGAGCCTTTTCCGGTGGTTATGGGGTTACACCAAGGATCTGCGCTCAGCCCGTTCTTATTTGCTCTGGCGATGGACGCATTGACGCACCATATCCAAGGAGTGGTGCCATGGTGTATGTTGTTCGCTGATAATATAGTTCTGATTGATGAGACGCGAGGTGGCGTTAATGGGAGACTGGAGTTATGAAGGCAGGCCTTGGAGTCTAAAGGTTTCAAGTTGACTAGGACTAAGACGGAATATGTGGAATGTAAGTTCAGCAACAAGACGGGGGAAGCGGATGTGGAAGTCAGGCTTTACTCACAGATTATCCTCAAGCGAGACAGTTTTAAGTACTTAGGGTCAATTATCCAGGGATATGGGGAGATCGACGGGGATGTTACGCACCGTATTGGGGTGGGGTGGATGAAATGGAGGTTAGCGTCTAGAGTCCCGTGTGACAAGAATGTGCCACCGAAACTCAAAGGTAAGTTCTATAGAGTGGTGGTTAGAGCGGCCATGTTGTATGGGCTGAGTGTTGGCCAGTCAAGAATTCACATATCCAGAAGATGAAAGTAGCAGAAATGGGGATGTTGAGATGGATGTGTGGCAACACTAGGCTGGATAAGATTAGGAATGAACATATTCGGGAGAGGGTGGGCGTGGCTCCCGTGGATGACAAGATGCGGGAAGCGCGACATAGATGTTTCAGACACGTGCGAAGGAGAAGCCTAGAGGCACCTGTTAGGAGGTGTGAGCGGTTGACTTTGGAAGGTACGAGAAGAGGCAAAGGGCGGCCTAAGAAGTATTGGGGCGAGGTGATCAGGCAGGACTTGGCGCGGCTTCAGATTTCCGAGGACATGACTCTTGATAGGAACAGGTGGAGGTCGAGCATTAGGGTGGTAGGCTAGGGGGTAGTCGAGAGTTCTTTCCCTCTTTGTACCGGGTAGTCTGATTGTGTTTTGTTAGGTTTGCTAGCGGTCTATGTTGTGCTCACATTGTTGTTTTGCATAGAATTTTGTTATTGTCCTTTCACTTATTCGTCGTAGTTATTTTCTTTCTAGCATCTTTTGTTGTTACATGCCTTTTCTTCAGTTTCTTTTTTGATATTATTGTCACTCCTGTTGAGCCGAGAATCTGCCGGAAACAGCCTCCCTACCCTTTTCGGGGTAAGGGTAAGGTTTGCGTACACTCTACTCTCCCCATACCCCACTAGTGGGATTTTACTAGGTATGTTGTTGTTGTTGTTGTTGTCATTTAGAGAGTGTAAGGTCCTGCTAGATAAAATGGCTCAAAACTCAGGATGGATGACAAGAGACACTACAATCACTCCTGTAGTTCACTCAGTAGCTTTATATCCAAACAAATCCATAGCCGAGAATATGGCCACTCTGATGACGCAAATGAGTATCCTTACCAAGAAGATTGACGAATCAGGTCAGAAGCAGGTATACATAGTTGACACGACTAATGAGGGCTTATGTACACCATGTATTAACCAACCATATGCGTGCTCGTGGAGTGGTGAAAGTGACAACCAGAACTATCAGAAAAATATGAACTATGTGGGCAACTATGGAGGACAGAGGCAAGGTTGTCAGAATTGGGGGCAAAAGAACCAGCAGTATGGACCAGCACAACAACAGTACAATAATAGCAACAATCTTGGAGCTATGCGACCATAGGGTCAAGTTGTGCCTTACCAAAGGCAATAGGGATACAATCAGAATAATCAGCAGTTATCTTATCAACAGGCTCAACAATAATAGATAGTGAGACAAGATGATGGGTTGTCTGAAATTAAATGAATGCTGCGACAACTGATTGGGTCCAATGGAAAAATGCAAGAGAAGGTTGAAGCACATGACTCGGCTATAAAAGGCATTGAGATTCAATTACGGCAGATATCCATAGCTCTGAATAATCGTCCCCAAGGGACATTACCTGCGGACACACATGTCAATCCGAAATAGCAGGGCCCAAAACAGCTTATGGCGGTGAGTCTAAGAAATAGTTGAGATCCTGATCTAGAGCAAGAAATTGCTCGCGAAAGCCAACCAACTGAGATACTTGTGCTAGTGCCAATTGAGGTAAACGATTCAACAGGGTTAACAAAGGTAACGATATAACATGCACAAGAGGAAACAAGCAAAGAAAAAGAGGTTCAAAGGAGACCGAGAAAGTGCAAGAAAAAGCATCAGAAAAAGTGTCAGAGCAGGATCTAAGTCAAGTCCCAGGAAGGCAGCGATCTCCAGCTCCCTTCCCGTAGAGGTTGGCTAAATATCAGAAGGATGAGTAGTACAAAAAATTCATGAAAATATTGAAGCAAATTCAAGTAAACATTCCTGTAATTGATGCTTTGAGGGAGATGCCAGATTATGCAAAAATGATGAAGGACTTTACCTGTTATTATCTCATCAAAGGTGCATGATGGCCATTTTCATAGATATGGTAGAGGAAATAATGGAAGTTTTCATGGATGATTTCTCAGAGGTGGGAAACTCGTTCGATGACTGCCTTAGGAATCTGAAAAGACTGCTGAAGAGATGTACGGAGACTAATCTGGTGCTAAACTGGGAAAAATGTCATTTCATGGTACATGATGGTAGAGTCTTAGGGAATCTAGAGTCAAGTAAGGGCATTGGGGTGGATCATGCTAAGGTTGATGTAGTAGAGAAGTTGCCACCACCCACGTCGGCCAAGGCAATAAGAAGTTTCCTTGGCCACACCGGTTTTTATAGGCGATATATTAAAGATTTTTCCAAGATTGCTAACCTTTGTGTAGATTGCTTGAAAAAGATCACCCTTTGTGTTTTCTGATGACTGCAGGGTAGCTTTTAACGAATTAAAGAAGAGGTTGGTGTCTGCACCTATCATAATTACACCCAACTGGGAGCAACCATTTGAGTTGATGTGTAATGCAAGCGATTATGCTGTGGGAGAAGTGCTGAGGTAGCGAAACGAGAAGGTCATGCACCTAATATACTATGCAAGTAGAACCCTGAGTGGTGCCTAACTAAACGACACATTGACCGAGAAGGAGATGCTAGCAGTGGTGTTCGCAATTGACAAATTCAGGTCATACCTGATAGGCTCGAAAGTAATTATTTATACTGACCATGCTGCTATCAAGAACCTAATTGAGAAGAAGGATTCAAAGCCACGCCTGATTCGATGGGTGCTTCTACTACAAGAATTTGACCTGGAAATCCGCGGCCGAAAGGGAATGGAGAACCAAGTGGCGGATCACTTGTCCAGGTTGGAAGGAGTGGAGAAGAATGTTGAGGTAGAAGAGATCATAGAAACTTTCGCGGATGAACAACTGTTGGCTACAAGCCTTGAGGTAGCGCCATGGTATGCAGATATTGCAAACTACTTGGCGAGCGGTATTATCCCCCATGACCTATCCTCTATACAAACAAAAAAGTTCTTTCGTGATTGTCGTATGTACTTTTAGGATGAGCTTCATATGTTCAGCATTTGTGTTGTTAACATGATTGGAGATGTATTCCCGAGAAAGACCAATCTTCAATTTTGCAGGCTTGTCATGCATCCCCATATGGTGGCCATTTCGGGGGAGTAAGGACAGCTGCAAAAGTTTTGGAGTCAGGCTTCTACTGGCCGACATTGTTCAAAGATGCACACTTCTGGGTGAAGGGTTGTGATGAATGCCAACGGGCCGAGAGTATTTTCTGTGACATGAGATGCCCATGAACCCAATTCAGGAGGTGGAAGTGTTTGATGTATGGAGAATCGATTTCATGGGGCCTTTTGTTAGATTATATGGCAACAAGTACATACTCGTAACTGTGGACTACATGTCAAAATTGGTGGAAGCTATGGAATT